GCGAGCAGCGGGTTGTTGGCTGTGGAGGGTGGGAATGGAATTGGATCGGATGCGGATGCAGATGCGGAACGATCAAGGGCAGCCGGCTGGAAGGAGGAGCTTCCATGTCGACGTGAATTGAGGAGAAGCCACACGCACACAGAAGCAGCCAACCAGCTCCAGAGTACATCATGTCAGCTCAGCTCGGCATGAACCCACGCTTGCAGATCAATTGATAGTTCTTTGCCCCTCCTTTAGCGCCGCTGGTAAGTTATTTACTACTACTCGTCGACTGGCATGCAACATCAATGCTGGCCTTCGATCTTCGGTTTGACCAGCAACGCCAGCTCTGCCCCAGGTCCATCAACTAACAAGTTACTAGCCATAAATAGAACCAGAAACGGCACTTTCGAGCTGCAAGCGAAACAAAGAGACGCACTGGCCAATTGTCACGTTGATGGTTGGGCTTTCTTTAGTACGACCCCGGGCACGCATACGCTGCAACAAAAGGACAATAGCCGACGTCAAGGAGGCTCACAGAAGGCACTCGCAGAAGGCACTCGCAGAAGGCACTCACAGCTTACTCGATACAGCGAACAATTCAAATATTGACACGAACCACGGGTTTGCACAGATGGCATTGTAGCCCAGCAATTGCCAGACCAAGAGCTACACTGGGAGGCAAAAAGCACTCGCGTACATCAGGTACTCCGAGTGGCTATCGACATGGAGCGCTACCCATCATCTACTACAGCATATTAGCGTATACATTCTGACCTACCGATGGGCAAGTATCTTATACCAGCTACAGCTACGGAGGAGCTCGGTTCGCGGTTTGGAAAGCGTAGAGGTCAGAGCGACATAGAAGCTTGGCGCCCTGCCAACCTGCGCAGGGCAAGCCACAACAATACTGTCCGTATGTCGGCATTTGAGGTGTATCCCGAACATACTGTGCGCTTGGTTGGCTCATCTGGGAGCAGTTGCCCGTCGTGAAACCGCAAATCAAGCTACAGGTTCCTTTCTCCCTCGCATAATTCTACCTTTTTGATCGCCATTTTCTTTACCTTGAATGGAGTAATGCATCACACATCCGCCTCTTCAATCTCCTCGAGACTTATTTAGAGGTAGTACCACTACTTTCGCCTCAAAGTCGCAGCCAGTGGATCCTGGTGGTTGGTCGAGGGCCAAAACCGTCCGGGTCACCAACTTCTCCGCGGTGAAGAGCTGTGTGCGTTAAGCAAATGATTGGACAGTATGACAAAGGACCCTGTAAATTCGGGATGAAAAACATGAGCTGACAGTTCTACAGATGGTCACGGGCTGACTGACACCAGATCGACTTCGATCGCCCTTCGTTGGTCTCCTGGGAGGGACGAGAAGACAAAATTGGCGGCAACAGAAAAGGCTTACCAGCCATTCCTCAAAAGGCTACTCTGTAGCTACAGCTTAGCTCAGTTGCCTATACATGTCTCCTTATACCGCCGACTTGGCGACACAAGTCAGTCACCCAAGGCAAAACATTCTGGATGCGGCTGTCAAAATCATTAGCCTTGGATAATGCACAATGCACTCGACTACCAGCCCTGCTCACGGCAATCTCCTCAGACAACTTTTAAATGGCCCGCTTACTTTTTGATTTATGTTAGATATGAATTGAGTTGTATACAATGCCTCGTCACTCGTCTTTGATAAAGTCAGTGGGAGGACCAAGGACGATGATGATCGAGAGTTCGCCCTTGCCTTAGTACGTACCTTCCTGAGGGGCGGGACGAGGTGGGGCATGGTAGCCCGCTTTCCTACTACAACCGGCGATCTTTGACGTTGATATCAAGTGGCAGATAGAACCATTGCTTGACCAAGCATCCAAACCTTTCCATGTTCTGTGTGACCTAGGTAGGTAAATACTTTCTTACTCTCATTCTTACACTCTAGTTAATCATCATCTTCCGTGCTTGCATACTTATGTCAGGGCTAATTCATAAGCAACATGACAGATACCATAGCAGGATGACATGCAACATCACGTACCCCAGATACAAGAGTATTGTCCCTTAAAATTTTACATCTGATTACTAAACTGTCCAACCAATAGCGCGACCAATTCCGTGATACGCAACTTCAGGGAGCCGATTCGTATCCACGCCGCATTTCTCACCAAGCCAGCTGGCAAGCTTCAAGCTTTCCGCGTTAGGGCAGCACCATGAACCTACTTCACACAGCCACCCCAGACCTAACTCTGCTCCTCGTGTTTCGACAGCTACATCTGACACGACAGTAAGACGAAAAGTAAATCTAGTAGTCACATTCAAGGACACAAGAGGCAAAATGTGGATACAATGGAACTGCTCTTCAAACTCCAGCCCGTAGGTCCTGCCAATCGCTCTCACACAACTATTTAACAAAGAAGCCTTCACTGGCTCTTTCTCAGATGAGGCAGCAACCAACCACAAAGGGAATTAAATTGCCAGCCCATGCAAGTGATATTATATTCTCCCTTTTTTTTTGATAGCCCGTCTCGAACTTCGTCATTTCCATAAAAAAAAAGGAACACCCTTTCCCATCCAGAACTCATCCACCCAAGTTTCCTGCGCCCATCACGCTCATATGGAAAAGGAGAGCCGATGCGGCAATGCTCAAATGCTTTAGAATCGGTGGCTCTTGCTCTTGGCTCGGTAAGCAGTGTAACCCACATACACACCACCAACAGCAACGAAGAATAGGATGATCTTGCTGAAAAACCAGGTCCAGCTACTACCTTCCTTGACAACATTGTTATGGATTGGTCGGCCCTTGTTCGCTCCCGCTCGGTCAGTCGTGCTGCCAGGGCTGTTATACAGGTTCTTGGTGGAGACGGAGATGATATCGTGGTTATCGCTGAGCTCGCCGGTTTCCGCGCTGAATCCGAGGTAGGCGATGTTGGGGATCTGAGGAGGGTTGTCCACTTCGAAGCAGGACGTCCACTCGTCTTCTTCCCTGTACTGAAGGTCAAGCTTGAGCTGCTTGTCCTGGATGTAGGTGAGACGCATCTTGGTAGGCACGCTGGCATGTCGGATGCCGCGAGCTGAGCAGCCGGCCAGCTCGGTCTCCTTTCCGTCGTCGTTCTTGTTGTAGGAGCGGTGGCCGTCGCCGTACATGGCCATGACGTAGGGAAACACAACGCCGGGTCGGTTGTTCTTGTAGGTATCGACAAAGATTCCAAGACCCTCAAATCGATCAACTGATCCAAAGACAGGACCCATCTGGCCGCGCTGCTTGGTAATCCACATAGCGAAGCCATCGCCGTAGAGCTGGTGCTTCCCCGAGATTTTGAATTCAACTTCGACCTCCCAATTCGTGGCGGTTAGAGGCACACGGGAGAACAGCCATCCAGATTGAGAGGGAAGATCTGAAGTCAAGCGAATATAACTATTCATGCCGTTTAGTTTCGATTTTTTTTTGCCACTTTCTAAAACCCCTTCTGCAAGATTGAGGCAACGTACGAATCGGTTCGGACAATGGCATCTCCTCCAAAATCGAACCAACGGCTCTGCATATCCGAGTCGAGGTAGGGCTGTGAGCAAATCCTCTTCGTCAGTTTCCTCTTCGCATATTGTGACATGTAGCTTATTCCCCCTCCAGGTTCTCCTGGTATCGTGAACTGACCTGCTGGATGCTATGTGTTCGTAGCTGCGAAGCCCCAATTGCGTCAGTCCTGATCTTCAATTGGCATAAAAACTATTTTCTATACACACCGAAATGCTCTTCAGGTCAGACACCTGGTCTGCCTGCGCAGTCCCTACAATGGCCGCCAGGAGGGCAGCTGGGACTGATGACAACCGCATGGTGTGGCGTGCCTCAAAGCCAGAGACGACTCGTGAATGGGAGACCGCAAAAGAATTAAAAACTAAAAGGAATCGAAATAAATGATCGGACAGCCGTCGAGAAATCGTCAAACTCAAGGCGTCGAGTATCCGGTCTCCCTCGACCGGTTTGCTTGGGAGGCTACGTGGTGAGAGTTGGCCAATATTAGGACCGAGAGCTGGCACACAGCTGTCCTCTTCCACACGGGGCCAAAAAGACAACCTGGGGTTCGGCCCAGCCTTAACTTGGCCCCCTGCTTGACTGCGCCACAGCAATACGCAGAGATGGCCGCGGGGTACTCCATAGGGAGTACCGATGGAGTGTTCTATAAAGTACCTACCTAGGTAGTTAGTGCGGCTGAGGAGACTTTGCACTAGCCACACATTCTAGCTTTTCCGATCTTTTGGACAAGCTGGGTTGCGACAAGGTGCTCTAAGCGTTCCTCAAGATAGTCTCGATTCACAAACCCGCGTCGCATCGCATCGCATCGCATCGCATCGCTATATCTTACAGCATACAGCACAAACCTGATACCAAGAATGGACTCCGGCACAGTAAAGCAGTCTGTTATGAAGCAGGTCCTCGCTGAGGCTAACCTGGCCAATGCCCGAGTCCTGATTGAGGTATGCAGAAGAGCGTAGCAGCACGAGACACTTGCCCTTGTTCCTCGTCTGTTAGCGTGCATTGGCTAACTTGCCTTCTCTCTAGAAACTCCAAGAGAACTGCTTTGAGAAGTGCATCCCCAAACCAGGCAGCTCGCTGTCCAGCGGCGAGCAGACCTGCATGACAACATGCATGGAGAAATACATGGCTGCGTGGAACCAAGTCAACGCCGCATACATCAATAGAATACGCCAGGAGCAAAACAACCCCAGCCAATAAGCATACCCCTCAATTCATCGGTCGAGACGAGTATCAGTGATTACTGAAAACTGTATATTATGCCATCGTTGCTGTGGAATGGGAGCTGCTCGCCGGGTCAACTATCTAGCCCAGCATATCCGGGAGGGACGGTTTTTTTTTTTGTATAATTTGGATGAATGGACACATGGAAAGGGGTATAAACAATAGAACAAAGTAGTCTCTGTAGAGACTAAACACACGCATCTCATCGCCATTTTACAACAGTCCCCATGGCCAGAGAAATGACTCTCATGATTACATTGCTGGGTATCTCACGTCTATCCCTCTGATGACTGCTTCTTTGCTTCCTCAGCCGCCCGCTTTCTGGCCAGATATCTCTCCTTTGCACTCGAAATCTCGCTTTGCGTCTTTTGGCTCTTTGACGCGCGTTCAATTTCTTCGCGCTGCGATTCTTCAGCTTCCCTGGATCGCTTGAGAGACTGCTCCAGCTGCTCTTCCATCATACGAGTCTGGCGCTCCCTCATTGCTTGTTTCCTTCCAAACTGAGCACCATTCGTAGGTCTCCTTTCCGGCTCTTTGGGCCGTTCAGCCTCTCTGCGAGCCTCTTCCTTTTTTTTGGCGCCCACGTTCAAGCCCCCCTTCAGGAGCTGGCGCTTGTCGACGACTTGGCCTTCTTCGTTCACGGCGACAGATGCGCCCTTTTCGTTCAACTCGCGGGCCAAATCAGCCTCGGACTTCTCCCTATCAGCCTCTTCATCATCGCCTTGTTCCGTCGTAGACCCATCCTTGGCCTTTTCTGCTGCCGCCTTGACAAGTTCTGTATGTCTCGCCTCGTCTTTATCAAGAAGCTTCCTGTAAAAAGCCGACATGCCGCCGCCTTCATTCTTCTTGGCCTCTTCTTCCTCTCTGCGCTTCTCTTCTTCCTCCAACCTCCTATTCTCCTCCTGTTGCTTCCTATATGCTTCCGTCACAAACTTTTCCTTGTCGGCGTATTCGTCTCCTTCGGCTTCCCGCTCTCTAGCAATCTTCTTTTCTTCCGCAATCAACGCATCTCGTTTTCGGACTTCAGCAGCTTGAAGAAGACTCTTCATATACTTTGGTTTTCGTTCCACGTCTTGCTTCGCGTCATCCTTCTTTGGTTTTAACGAATCGTATACGGAGTCGTATTCGTAGATGCTTGCGTCGAGTTCTGTTGCTGCTTGGGCGTTCTTTCGTGAAGCCAGAGTGCTTGAAAGGTCGCCAAACATGGCACTCGGCTCATTCTTTGATTTTAGCTTTGGAGGCTGTGTCAATGCGCCAGGTTTTTGTTTTGAACTCTTGCGCGTGTCTGATTTGGGTGCTGTCGTTGCGAAGTCGTCTAGAACGCCATCAATCCTTTCAAATTTGGCACCGCTTTTCTGTTCTTCATTGTCGGAATCATCGTCACCTCGGAACGCGGACTTCTTGCCAAGCGGTGTCGTTTTTGGTTTTGCCGCGCCTGGCTTCTTGGATAGATTGAGCCCGAAGGCTAGCGGCTTGCTCATTTCGAGGTTTCTCGCTGCTCGGGAGGTTGTGAGCCACCCTTTGGAGTTGAAGCCTGTCGAGGTGAAGGGTTCTGGAAGACATTGGTGATGTAGTAGTTGGTACTCCGTATACGTGCCAATGATGTAAAGTGGGCATTGCTCTGCCTAGGAGCAGAGGCACTATCGTCACCGCCTTCTGTATAAGGTCGAGCTCTAGGGTTAGGGTAAGAAGACGTGCGAATTACAGCCCATCCCTCCAGTACCCGGGCGAATTGAATGGGACAAACCGGCAGTCTATCAAAACATATTTGCCTATTGGTAAATGTATATAGATGGTGTATTCTTTCTTTCGTTCGGAGCGTTCCGCGAAATTAAAGGGCGATAGGAAGTTGCCCATGTGCAGAAAGTGGCACCATGACCCGTTGCAGGGACTACTTACAGAATATTCCACTATGCCATCTTTTATTGAGATCCGCCAAGATCAAATAAACAGATGGTCCTAATGAGGCGTAGCATTTTTCGCATATGGCTGTTTATGCATCACTGTTCTGAAAATTTGTCTGCCTCAAAGGCTGTTGGTTAAGTGCGGTCAAGCAGTAATTCGCTAGGGTAGCAATTGGTAGACACTGCACAAATGTAGCAGCGAATGTATCTTTATCATTTCCAACTGATTTAATCGTTTTCAGACTCAAACCCAAAAGTGCCCTTTTTCAAATGATATCACGGTATACGTGCGGAGTGTAGCGCACATAAATCCAACACGCAAATCCGGGCGACCATCTTTGCCGGTATAAACAACAGCCTTGGAAATGGATGGCCAAATCATGACGTGATTGGTCACAAGGCCTTCCAACTGCGTCAACACCGAACAGCCCGTTATCGCCAACTCACACGACAACCATGATTCATTCGCTCCCAGACGGCATGGAGTCTTGCTCAACCTGCGCAGCAATCCTCCGATCACGGGGTGCGCCGACGCCAGAAAAGATGCCCGACGACCGGATAGTATCGTGCTGTGGAAGAGTGATATGCGGCAGCTGTATCCAGGTCAGACATATATATATTTGCCACAGCCTTGCACCTGCTTCAGGCACTGACTTGCGCACATGTAGAATAACCCGAGATTCTCTCAGTACTGCCCGTACTGCCAGATATCCAGTACACCTTCTCCTCTGCCCCAAGGACTCAAGGATCCCCCATCTTATACGTTGGTCTCACAATCACGAACAGTGGATAGCGGACCGCCGCCCTATACACTCTTCGACACGGAACCTCAACCCACAAAGAATGAGGGCACAAATGCGGAAGTGGATGAGAAGAGCATGGCCGATGACACTCTCCATTTTCTGAACCACGACCACGACAGCATCACATCATTGTCATTTCGATATGGCGTTCCTGCGGCAGCACTACGGCGGGCAAACAACATCACGAGTGATTATCTTCTACAAGGTAGAAAAACAATACTAATTCCAGGGGAATACTACAAAGGGGGCGTTAGTCTCTCGCCTACGCCAATCGATGGAGAAGACGAAGAGTTGAGAAAGAGCAAGATACGGCGATTTATGACGTCCTGTAAAGTCTCTGATTACAACATTGCTGAGATATATCTTGAGAAGTCAGGCTATGATTTTGGCGCCTCAGTACAGGCGTACTTCGATGACGAGGCGTGGGAACGGGAGCAGGCGAGAAGTGGGGCCAACAAAGCGATAACGAGGACGAAGAACCTCGGGTTCTTCTGGCGAGCGTAACATGGTGTATCCTGTAGTTTCTCCTTCTGAACAAACAGAAACTGGGTATTGAATTCATCCTTCATTCATCGTGCCAAGGGCGCCGTTCACCATGCCCGAGTCTATTCATGAGACTTTTAACAATGTACTCTTAACGCCTCTGCCGCCCCATCTCCCAGCTAAATAGCATGTTATAGGATATATCATACATTACATCGATTGTTTTTCCAACAGAAAGCGTTCATATATATTAGAAAGCAGACCTAGTGCGGATATCCTGGAATGATTGTCAGTTCACGTCTTGAACACGACTAGGCGGTGAGGGCAACTTGGAGTTACTCACTGAGATTTTCCTTTCAATCTCTCGGACCGAACGGTCCAGTTCGCCAGCAATCATTTGCTTCTTATCGTTGGGAAGCAAAGTATATCGCTCACAGAGATCACCATCAATTATGCCCTTCACAGGCGCATAATATGATCGGTACATAAGATGATCTCTTCCAGCTAATGGAGGATCCTCAGTCCGGAGATGTGATTCAAGGCTCTGGAAAAAGTCTGCGTCTTCTCGACTTATCAGCGGAATGAAAACACCAATAGTGCCCATTAGGCCGCTCCATAATAACACATCCTGTCCACCAACCACCAAACTGGTCTTTGCCATGCTAGTAGGGATATCCTGAGTGTAAAAGTGGCACATCAAATCAAGACGCTGGGAAGTTCCATGGAGGTAGTCCCTAGCATTCATCAAATGGAGACCAGATTGTTCCTCATCGGCCTCTTCACTTGCTTTTGGAGGACAACGAACGATGAACATGTTTCCGAATTTGTCTCCGCCGGCCACTGACTCATAGTCCACCATTGTTGTGCACGTGATCCATCTGGCAATGATATCATCTGCGAAAGGTATGAGCTTGTTCGTGGTAGGCTTATATGTGACGTATGTGACGCCTTGTTGGACATCGCCAACGATAATGCGGCTGCCTTGAGTGTTTAGGGATACGATTTGCTGAGGTGCTACCTCCGCTTGTGCTTTCCGCAGCATTTGCCGCATACCAAGATCGTACACTCGCAAGGTTTTTCCGACACCAGCCAGAAGTTTCCCTTGGAACGGGATTAATGCCAAAGCGGGTTCTTCGATCTTAGTTTTGTGAATAAACTCAAGCTCTCTTCCTTCTTCTTGGAAACGATACACGTAAATGTATGCTTCTGAAAAGTTCCGTGGATTCACCACGATATCTTTACCAGTGCCAACAATGAGAAAACTTTCATTATCTTGACTAGCAAAGGGAACAATAGCAGCGCTTACGGCTGCCTCATTATTTTCTAAATCAACCGTCTGCACAACTTGCGGCTCTTCGGAGACAGGGTCGATCACATTGATGCATGACGCCCATCGACGGTTGCCTTTAGGATACCCAAATTCCTCGGGTGGCAAAACTTTTGTATCGCCATTTACGACGGCTGGATCAGCTATAAGCTGCGCCCGAAGATCAGGTGGGAGTGTATTATTATCACTCTCAATAGTGTAAAACAGAGGCTGCTCTGGGTGTTTGATGAGTTTTTTAGGAGTATATGTTAGAGAAATAGCCTTCTGAGTCAAAGTATCACCTAACCGGTCAATAGAGAAGATCCTAAGTGCTGTTAGCATCCAAATCCATAGAAAAATAAAATGGTGTATGGGCTGGTAACATGAGCGCCATTTCAGTAGGAACAATTGGAAAAAATGCGTATTATAGGCCTCATAGCTCAAAGCATAGGATCCCAAAGTTTCATCATATTGGCTCAGCAGGTAAGGGGGGAACGGAGATGGTATATCTTACCTGAGTGACTGGCCTTGAATGCCAACGATACCTTCCTCGCACTGCTCGCTGCTAAAGTTCCAGCCCCATTCGAGATCTACGTAGTTGAGCGGGGTGACGACGAATCCCTTGGTGATTGGATCGGAGTATCCAAGCCAAGGCCGGGAGCTGAGACCCAAAACACAAGTAGTTCCCTGTACGGTAACTTGGAAAAGCCGGACTTGCTTTGGCCCCAAAAACTTTTGCCTTGTGTCAGTCAGTTCACCAGTGACCTCATCGAGAACTGTGCGCAGATAAACACCAGAATGTAAGCCGATATGAAGATAAAGTGTAGAGCCTCCTGATGACGAGTCATCCATTGCAATAATAGCTAACGATGACGGCGCAGCTGTTAATGCTTGGACTGACTTGCTTTCGAGTGTCGACTCAGGGTCAAGACTGAGAATTCGAACTGTACAATCATCACAGCCCACGGCAAGGAATGAGCTACGAGCTCTGCCTTCAGGTACTTCGCCCAGGCTAAGACAGGTAACAGTGCCAAACATCTCCTTCTTCTCGTCGTACTCTGCAAGAGAGCCATCAGAATCCATCTCAAAATACACTATTTCACCCGAGCTAAGGGCAATGGCCACTTGGTGGGCATTTGTAGAGGCTGCCACAATAGACCGATGTTGCGGGGCATCCCACTCGTTGACCTTGCCATTGCGAACATGTCGAATGCCCTTTGGATGAACCTGAATAAGGCCATCATCCCCTAATAATTGTGCGGCTAGCGTGGGAACGCTTGTAGAGAAACCAGAATCGCTGACTTCCTCTACTGTCTCGCCGATACTGAGCACCAGGGTTCCATTTGTAAATGATAAGACGATATAAGCATCGTACTGTTCACCTCGGTTTAGCTTAAGGGTCCACACTGCAGACGGTATGCCAGGCAGTTCTGAGGCCACGATTTCATTGACTTCTAGGCCATGTCTTAGCATCCTAAATGTGCTTCGTGCTCCATTTCCACAGACAGTATAGATTTGGGGTGCGTCTTCCCCTGTCAGGTTCGCAACTTGACAGTCAAGTAACGGATTCATTGATGGAATACTCTCGACCAAGGCCAAATTTTCAGCAGGTCGAGGATGGAAATAGACCGGATCGTACGATGCTTGCGGGTCAACTGGAAAGTCATCGCTGCTGAATTCAAGCTCCTCGTCATCGTCGCCGAGTTTCTCAAACTGATAGAAAGAAAAGTTGCCAAACTGACTGGCAATATAGAGAAATCCGCTCTTTAAAATGCAGAGACTTGTGGCGACTGGTACAGTATCAAAGTACTTGATCTTAAGTCTTCTCACTTCACCAGTCGGGCTCCCTTCTTCATCCTCAACCATGTCGATAGTCACTTTAAATAGGTCGCCATCCTCAGTTTGTAATAGGAAGAAAAACGCGCCGGCACTGCCCTTTAACTTGTGCATCACACCAGAGACAATTATGCGTTTTCGTGACGGGTCCTCGGTAGCTCCCTTTCTCCGCGGTATTGGCACACGGAACGCGTCCTGATTCGAGTGCCTATACGTGATGCTCTCCTCGCCACAGACCAGCACTCCGCTGGGGCCGTCGTTACCACCGGGAACCTGAAAAAGAAGGGATGCAGTAGGATCGACAGGTTCCGACCATTTTCTCACAACGTGATTGAGACCGAGATCTAACTCGTAGTAAACCAGCTGCGTTTCGACTTCCTCCAGAGCCTGGCCACTGGAGTCTTGATCGACATCCGAGTAGTCCATTTCGAGGGCTGCAAAAACGGGATTGGCATATCCGACATCCAAGGCAACCATGGAAATAACCAACACGCCAGGTTTATGAGCTTCCAAAGGCGAGGAGATTGTCAGCTCTGCTTGTGCACTTCGGTTCAGAACATATACTAGTTTGTTCTTCTCGGTGGAAGCAATGAGACAAGCTCGCCCCTTGGGGTCGCACGCAAGATATTCTCCTGGAATTACTCGCCTGACACCGGACTTGCCAAAAGTCTCAAGGTGCAGTCTGCTGAACCGATTTTGGGCGGGCAAGTACTCGACGATCGTGATTCTGCCAGAATCCGAAGCAATAATCAAATAATCTATTGAATTTGCTTTTTAGCGGCTTGTCATTTTCAAGGGGGACTGCTCGAAGAGAAAATGCCAATTGCGTATCAAGGCTGGTAATCCCGCATGCAATTTGGCAGACAAACCAGGCGATGACAGGTTTCAAGACATACCTTTGTTACTGCCCGCCAGGCGGAAAGCGGCGAGAGACCGAATTATTCCAAAGACGTTATGAGATAGAACGGTCGTGACCTTGCCTAGGGAAGGATCCGGACGCAATAGAGTCAGCTGTGAGCCAGCGCCAGTGATGATGAGCTGCTCTTTGGTGCCTGCGAACTGACCCAGGACCGCCTGAACGACATTATTTGGCGGCTGGACCGTCAGCGAGTACAGGAACATGTTCGAAGTAGTCGCCATGGTCCTATCTGGGCGCAGTCCAGCCTGCGCGGCTCCAAGAGGCTTGAATTGCCGAGTTGAAGCGCAGGTTCGCGTAGAGGTGCTCTGGCTGAAGCTTGGAAATAGTTGCGAGTGGGACGGGCTACAAAACTTTGGTTTGGTGGCCCGGGTGGGTGGAGGAACTATTAATGCGGCGCAACTGGGTGGATCGACAGCTTTCGAATTATCGGCCCACCTCTGTCTGGTAAGCTCACCCAAAATGCTTCACCCACCGGTTCCAGCCATTTAACGCCTCGAACTGGTGATATAATGGAGACGATGTTCCGCAGAGCGGCTTCGAGCCTTTGCGGTCGCTGTACTGCGTCGCTTCGTAGTCAGACTGTTGTAGGGCGAGTTGGACAGCTGGCGATACGGCCTGTTGGAGCAATTGCATCGATAAGTACGAAGCGGACCACGCCGAGCAATTCAGCTTCCAGGACCTTCACAACAACCGCGGAATCAAAGTCAGAGGCAGCAGCTCCGGAGAAGGACCCTTCCACTTCGAGTCTGAGACTTAGCCAAGATGATCTTTTTCATCCCTTTTCGTCATCTCCGGTCCCTGAGTTCCGCCGCCGTGCAGCTTTCATGAGACAACATGCGCAATGCCCTCACCCTGACCATAAACCAACGAAGCTTCCGACCGTGGCACCAAAGCCTGATAACTCCGGGGAACCGACTGGGACCATGCCCCCTGCCCATGTTGACTTTGAGTGTCCCGACTGTGGATTCCCCGTCTATTGCAGCAAGGAGCATTGGATGGACCACTATGAAGAGCACCTGAAGATTTGTGATACTCTGCGGCAGATCAACGAGGATGACCACGATTTGCGGTCGGGCCGTGTATTCTTTGAGGGCAACCTTCCTGACCTACAAATGGATGAGGCCGCAGTGAATATGACGAATTGGGATACCTTTATGTACACCAGGGAGTTCGAGGCTGTTAACTCAGATCGCTCCATGAGACAAATCACGCGCCTCCTCACCTACCCTGTCACCATTGGCAGCGTTTTGCATGAATTGAGTCCATACAGCCTCAAAAAGGGAGAGCGACTGACACCAGAAGGCTTGAAGAGCTTCAGTGGTACGTACTTGCTACACAGTTAAAACGTTGTTGTGCATCTAATCTAACAAAATGAAGCATTGAGATATAACTTACACCCCCCAAGAACTGGCAGAGGTGCAGGGGTGAACCAACTTCGCCCTGAGCCGCCGCCGGTTAGGGTGTTCGTTCTTGGTGCGCGGGCAGAATCATCGTTGCCTCGGGCAGCTTGGACGCAATTAGCTCACCTTTTTCCCGATTCAAGACTCCATTTGGTGTTCATTGGACCAGAAAGCATGGCTAATCGAGACGACGAATTCCCCTTGCCTGAACGAACTCCTTCGAATCCTTTTGGTGCCATTGTCGAAGACCGTGTATGGTACAAGATGAAAATAAGCACAATTGTCGACTACTATCACACAATCCACAAAACCGGCCATTTTGCGCCCTACGATCCCTATTTTGATTGCTTTGTGCTGTTCCATCCTGGCCTCGGCCATCCGGCAAGTAGCCACGAGTGGGAGGAGACATTGCCGCTTCTTTTGGAGACCAAAGTGCCAATTATCGCGACTGGGTACACGCAGTTTGATCTGGAACGCGATGTTGAGTGGGTTCACAAAAAATCAAAAGGAGAGTTTGATATTCTGCTTGAACCGGGTGAAAATGTCTTCCGAAGCTTGAGATGGGATCTGAACGACATGGATCCGCAGGATATCAGTTGCGGAAACTGGGGAGTATGGGCTTTCCGAGGCAAGAGGTATGCATACTAGATTCTCACGACTAGCATTGTCTCCTTTGAACCAGGCTTGACTAACAGCACAACAGATATGAGGCGACCACGAAGGATATATAGGCATTACCCGATGGGGATCTAGAAAGCGGGGGAGCACGGGCAGGGAGCATACATAGCCTTTGTATTTATATTGTAAACTGCATTGTACAACGACATGATGTCGCAAGGGAATAGACCACTTCAGCTTTTCAGAACTGCCGTATACGAGTTGGGCGAATTGTCAAGCAGCACGCCGATGTTGACCAAAACGCAACCATGCAAGCGGCATTTACCTACTACCTACCTAGGTACCTAGTAGTTAACGACCCTAAGTACTCTCTATCCAGACAAATATTAATGTTCGAGGATATACCACGACATTTGTGCAATCCGTGCACTCTTCACCCTGGCTCTTCGTTCTCTGCACAGACAGTCGTCGTGAATAAAAAGTTGGATAAGCCAGCTTTGTTAATGCACGTGCCAGGGTCGACGCCAACGGCCAGCCACCAGACCAGTGGTTTGAACTCGATTGCTCCTGCAGCGCACGGTTCAGGCGGCTCAACCCGCCCATTATAATTCGCCTTAGCTCATGCAGCTCGAGCCTGCGACCCCATACGCGACCCAACTTAACCTCAACGTCTGGCCGTGGCAACAACATCTTGGGCGACCAACGACTTCGCGACTGCTTCTTCAGACATCACCGCCTCCGGTTGCGTCTCCGAGTGTCATGTCGCTTCGGCGCAGCCCGAGTTGGTCATGACAACCACGTCAGCTACTCCGGAGCCCTCGAAAGCTCGGACTGGCGCTTTGCGACATAAGCCTACCGCCTCGAATGCTCCCGGAGCTGCGATGCCGACAAACCGCCGCCTCAACCGTACATCTACGGTTGATCCGTTGTCTGACCGAGCAACTCAGGCGCTCATCCGTAAAGTGCTTCTACCGCAAGAGTCGGGTGACAAGGGTCGAGGTTCGCAAACGCCAATAGAAGAGCTACTGCCACCCCTCACGAGCCGCAACGACGTCGATCTACAACTCTACGCCTTTCTTGCCATTGTACTGCGAGAGTTTGTACAGAGTTGGTACAATAAGATCACACCGGATGAAAGCTTTGTTGCCGAGATTATCCATGTCATTGCGCATTGCACGCGAGCCTTGGAGCAGCGGCTGCGCGAGTTGGATTTGGAGAGTCTGCTCTTACATGAGATTCCCGAGATACTAGACAGACATATCACAAGTAAGAAACACAAAAGAGGCGCGTTTCCTTTCTGCTCTGCAGTTACTAACAGTTGCGGCTAGCGTATCGCTCTACACATCCGGATCAGACATTTCAGCCAACCCTCGTTAATGGCCGGGAGGCATATCACGCTCTTTGGCCACTGCCACTCTTGTCACCTGTTCCAATCTCCGGCGACCCCATAACGACCTCTAAGCAGCTCAGGAACGAAGCAGCATATCGGCAGCTACTAGTGCAGGCCGTTCTCACCGTTCTGCTCCCAACAGAGGACTTGGAGAATCCATGTCTAACAGCACTAGTTGAGCAGATTTTCTCCGAGCTGATTATTGGAAATGCTATAGCAAACAAGGCAGTCCAGCCGTGGCTGCTGTTTGAAGCCATTTGCATTGTTGAGCGCGTTTTGGCCGAGAAGAGGCAGGGAAGCAATGGCTTGAAGACCTCGGGAGTAGAAACTCACCTCAGAAGCCCCCGCAGCTGGTCTGTCCAAGGATTCTTCGTCTCGATTATTCAATTCGCGCTTATATCCATGTCTGCAATCCGATTCGCCTTCAACCTGATAACAATGTCGTCATCACTGCCGCCTCGAAGACCGATGGTGTCCGACAAGAAGCTGGCGCCAGAGGTTTCAGTCACCGACAACCAATCCACACCGCCTAAAGTACCAGTGTTGTCATTCAGCGCATGGAGCTGTTTAGGCAATGTGATTGAACTACAGAGCAGAATGCCCTGGTTAGGCGGCTTTTTGTCTCTCCTTCAGCTCGAAGTAACTCATGGGCCGGGTCGCGTGGCAGGGCTCGACGGCGTCCTGGACAGGTAAGATGAGCTTTTGGTCCCTTCGTTACACGTCCCAATATTCTCCCCATCGGCGAAGCTCTCTCCCGTCCCTCCCACCTCGCATGGATCCAGGGTCACTGGATGCATTGTGTGCAACCACACGCGCCTGTGTAATCAGCATCTTGTGTTGACGGCCCGCAAGGACGGACGTCTCGCTCCGGGCCTAGTCTAGTCCGTCTCTTGATGAGTGTCTTGGAGGCGTGGCTTTGATCACACTGCTGCGAGAAAACGTCAGGGGCGTGTCTGGAAAGCTGCTACAGCTGGAGAAGAGCCAAGGCCCATTCTCAAGCTACAGATGTACGTCCCAACCAATTACAACTCTGAAGTGAGCTTCTGGCTTCCGATTTGCTTGACATGGCGTGCGCCTCTAGTAGCAGCCTCCACCGGCACGGCTGTTAAGCGCCCAGGCTGGACCGGGGTCTCATCAAGTTCTCGAAAGCGGGTCGATTCATCCTTGTACATATCGTCCGTTGTGAGATGTGCTGTGCCGCGTGACCCGGCAAACTACTGGAAAACCACCCAGCAAGAAGACGAGATTTTGTGTTACAACACCGTTTTTTACTAGTGAAAAAATGCCACCGTCCGAGTCGTCTCCACCGCTAGTATGTGACGGATCTACTTGTCCTGACCTCCAGGACACGAGATGCAAATGCACGAGTGGAACGGAGTGCTGATGTCGACGACAGCTCGAACGTCTCGACGATACCACACCTGAAGCATCATGTATATCTCGTCACACCTAGCTCCACGGCTTCCTGCACGGGACGAGTCACTAAATCTTGCCTTTTCTTCATCACAAAGCTCCGTTCCCCGCACATACTTTGCAGACCCCCCCCTTCTCTTCCCTTCATCACTTATCACAGGATCCCGCAGCGCACAAATAAGAATATGGCCTCTCTTCTGTGGCCAGGTTTTCTCGCTTTGCCGGGAACGTAGCTAATTGATTCCATGGATAGGTTCCTCTCGCATCGCATCCAATTGCTCTTCTCAGCATCCCATCTTCCCCCCGTCCTTCAGATGCTTCGGGGTGCGCTGTTCCCCAACAATGCGCCAGGGTCTTCGTCCCTATTCCCACCTTCCTCGGATAGAGAGCTATGTGCTCTTCGTAGAAGAGCTGCCAGGGCACTCTGGGACATGGCTCCTCGGAGTGTCAGCCGCTTATACTTTGGCGGTGGTCTAGGCGCAGCCATGGGCCAGTTAGCTGAGGCCGAGGAGGAGGAAATGGTGGATGAGTTGGAAGGGCTGTTGAGTGTGCTGGGTGACGAGTACTGTAACAAGCACTTGATGTATAGTGTTTTGGAGCTCATTCTAGTGCGGTTGATGCCGGAGCTGTGCGAGAATGGTGTTGATGACCTTTTACATGAAAGATTAGGGTGACTAGTTTGCGCAGGTGATGTATGGTAGAGATAGATACCCTAATGAGTTCTAGATGACATGGAGGTACAATGTACTCTGTGTTAACAGGCATATTCCACATACCAACATTGAGCGAACAGCAAATCATGAGAGAGAGAGAGAGCAAGAAGTGTTGATAAATGCACTATATACCACCCTAGTACATAGCAAACCACCTGGAGTCCTCCCGCCATCGTCAGCCAGCGTCGATAGCGGCCAATTGTCCGTGTCGCTCGACCTTGCCTGCGAACACCCCCAGCGTGCTGTCCTTCTCCCTATCCCAACACCCTCTTCCTCCAGGTACCCACATCGCCATTTCCAACGTATTCGTCCAAAGAGAGAACACACCATGAATCAGTAAAAGACGGAGCAAAGCGGTGAATACAACTAAGAAATAAATGATGAACAAGAATATAACCTTAAAACCCAATCCCCGCATTGCCCAAGGGGAAAGAACTGTGAAGCTCGTTGAAAACCCGTCTTATCCAATCCACTATCACCTTACTCTCGAGAAAAAATTGTTGGGCGTTTTTTTGCGCACAAGAGTTGCGGCCTCTACATGTTGAGCAACAGACTACTTCGTCCTGGAAGGAACAAGAAATCAATGCAAGTGTTCAGAATATGGCACGATGAATCCGAATCATGGGGACCAAAAAAACATGCAAAATCATCTATGCCAGTCAACAGGGGGTATTCTGGTAAGTTGGGATAGGGTCAGGGACCAGCAGTCTGTGCTCAAATGCAGAGTTGTAATGATACTGATGTCGTTGCCGAATTCTGTTGCCAGAGTATATAGAGTCGCCTCCTTTTCTTCCTTTTGATTCCCAGTACCCTCCAAGACATGAAAATAAAAGGAAAAATAAAAACAATTCGCAGTAGTAAGAAATAACTGCATCGATGTACTCAATATCTGTGGAACTGCCAAATATTCAAGCAAAATCTTAAAAAACTTGGGGCTGAATCGGAATTCCAGCTGCGAGAATAAACTCAAAACATACTAGTCGTAATGCCTTGTCATCTTCTGATAATCCTTTCTCCGTATCAACTAGCCTGCATCATTGCGGGCCCTGTCGCATTCATTTCGTTATCGCCTTCTGGTATCCTCGACAGTCCTCCCGCAGACGGTCGGTTGCTCTGGTGTTGATGAATCTCCAGCTTCTTAGTAAGTTGTAACATAGCCTGATAGTCACTCGCTTGAAATAGCTGCCCAGTGGAGCTCATATTATGAAGATAGTTCAGCAATGTGTTCGCAGCTCGCCGAGCATCTTCCCGGGATGGTGACACAGGGGACGAGTCGACAGGCGTCATAGAGGCGCCTGTGTTCGTCAAGGACATACTGGAAGATCGAGCTGCGATACTCGAGCAGCTGCTAGTTCGATGCAATGCCGGTGGCGAAGTCAGACCGGTGTTGATAGAGAAAGGCGCTATTTGGCCATCATTCACTGGTGAGTGAAGAGCTGATGACGGCGCTGTTGGTGGTGCAGGAAGTTGTGGGGTCATGGGTTCTGTTGCTGGGGTTGGTTGATTCCCATAGCTGACATCTATTGAGGGGAAGGTATTACTTCGCTTCTCCCGATGGAATTCAGGCGGTATTTCTGCGCGCATTCCTAGCGGCTGAAAGCCACCAGCATTAGGATCAGGGGAGAAATTGAACGTTCCAGTCGGACTTAGAGTGCCACCGGAAAACGACGAACCGGGATTCTCTCTGATGTCGGTGGCAAGTGATGTTGGTTGCGAGTGCTGCTGCCTATAGGCAAAGTCGTAATCGATATTTTGTTCGCGCTTAACTTCTTCGTCACTCCGACTTCCTGACAAAGGTGACAGTGGTTGAGTTGGTGATGCAGGCGAAATATCATTCGATGTCGCGCCACTCCTAACAAGATTGTGCTCAGGCATGCGCGTACCGTCGGAAATATTCGTCTCTGATGCTCGGCGGGAAAGCCGTGAAGAACCGATACCGTGCTTCTGTTTGAACCTTTGTAACCAGCCGCTGGTTAGGCCTCCAAGGATAGCATCTTGATTTCCGCTAGCATGTGCAAATAGGCGAGCTTGCTCCATAATCTCTTCGTCTTTAATGTCAAACCCACGTTGTTGCTGTCGACGAACATAATTGCTGAGGGTTCTGTCAAAGTCAGGGTTCTTAGCTTTGCCGCTTCGTTTAAGTGCGGCAGGATCCGGCTCTTGGTCTCTTCTGAGATATTGGTCCTTGTGCCTCAAAACTTTTGAGACAGTGCTGTAGTAAGTATGCAAAATTAGAGACGCGGACCTATTGATGCTCGTCACGTTCGTGTCTTCACTCACCTTCGTTCTACCCCAAACCTCAACCCTATATCTGCTTGTCTCGTTCCGGGATTCTCTTCGTGATATTGACACATGGCCCGCTTTTGTTCCGTTGTCAAGGTTTTCCGGCCTTTGTCTGCTTGGCTAGGTAATTTAGGAGTGTCTATGGCGGGTGGTATCCGAGGAACCGGGGGGGTTGATGCGGCAGGAGCTGAGAAACTCCCCGATGATGGAGTTGGATTCGTTAATTGACTTGGCCACGTTGTGTTCAACATGGGAAGTTGGTGGTGACCCATGGGTGTCGCAGAATGATGCATCATCTGGTGTTGGTGTTGGTGGCCGCCCTGCTGTGGCATTCTCGGCATCGAATCTGAATGCACACCTGGGGGAACGAAGGTTCCAAAGCCCGAATATTCAGTCATTGGGCTGCCATCATAAGGACTTTGACTGTATGGGCTAATGGTAGCCCAGCCGTCATTATAGCCACTGCTCTGGGTGATCGCCGTTGAATCCTGTCCCATAGTGACAGATCCATCGGCTGCTGTGTTCATCTTCCTTCATGCGTTGACTAGTTTCCAGATTATCAGTCATATATATGCTACTGTTGAATGCAACCGTCAGTATCAGATCGGAACATGATTCCAGTCTAGTGGAAGCGACAAAATCCCTTCCATTACGTGCCATTTTCTCCAGCAAAGGCCATTGCGTCGATCAGAATACGGAACGACCAGAAGCAAAAAAGTAACTCACTTGCTCAGCAATGAAGGTAGAAAGAATCCGAATTAGCCCATGCCCTTCGAGCTATACAGCAATATGAAGAGATTTGCGCAACTCGGGAAAGTTCAGAATTGGCGAGTTCCAGCCAGTTAGGGTCTCGAGAGGCTGAAGTCAAGTCGGGAGGGACTGGTTCACGAGTCACGACCCTCGATTTCAGAGAAGCACTTAGTTGCCTCACGGTTCGGCAAAATCAGAGTCGCTAAAAGTGTTGGCTCTTGGAAGGTTTAGAAGGTGTTCCAAACAGTCTATTTTTCTGCAGCGCTCTGGCAACTTCAATTCCAGTCACGTTTACCTGAGTTTCGTTTGCCACCTAGACAAAGTTGGATCTCGAAACAAGTCAGTCGGGTTTTTAGGCGATGGTACAGGCTCTGAGCAATTCTGGCTCCGCGTGAGGCCTTTGACGGGGAAGAGATAATGGAACCGTATTGTTGAACGGAGTGCGGGCGGGCGGAGAAGGGTAGAACGACGAGTAACGCCAAACAGCCCAAGAACAAACAGCACAGCCAAATATGGCTGTCCCGCTTCCTAATA